TACTTCGTACGTCGTACGTTACGGTTACGTTACGGTTACGTACGTAGTAAGTAGTAGTACGTACGTACGTAGTAACGTACTACTACTACTACTACTACTACTACTACTCTCTCTCTCTCTCTCTCTCTCTCTCTCTCTCTCTCTCTCTCTCTCTCTCTCTCACTGGTTGTTGGGCTCTATTGTGATGAATTAAGGGAGCTGAAAATACAGTTCAATATCAAAGAAACTAAGTCCCTCTCTATGACACCTTGTGCCAAGCCCCATCTCTCTCTGGCATTTCGGTTTCCAATGCAATGAACTGAAGCAGCTGAAAATTACAGTTCTTTCTTTCAGTATAATACTTCAGAGTTAAGACTCAGAGTCATGATTCTGCCCAATTATTTCAATTAATTAGGTCAAGGGAGGTACAAAGAGTTAATGGCTGTTTCCCTTCTTCCTAACATTCAATTACATTCTCTCTAATGATTCTCTCACTTCTTTCTCTCTCTTCTGTCTTTGCCCTCTGTTGACTCTCTTTTATCTTCTTTCTCTCTCATCGTGCTAATGATCCTGTCTCTTCTTTCTCTTTCTCTCTCATGTAACAGTCCTAGTGATTCTCTCTGTTCTTTCTCTCCTCTTTCTCTCATGTAACAATCCTAATGCTTCTCTGTGCTTTATCTCTCCTCTTTCTTTCTCGTGTAAATGAGTCTCTCTTCTTTCTCTCTCTTCTCTTTCTCTCTCTTCTCTTTCTCTCTCATGTAAGAATCCTTATAATTCTCTCTTCTTTCTCTCTTCTCTTTCTCTATCCTAATGATTCTCTCTTCTCTTTCTCTATCCCAATGATTCTCTCTCTTCCCTTTCTCTCATGTAACTGTCCTCATGATTCTCTCTCCTCTTTCTCTCTCTTCTCTTTCTCTCACATGTTACGGTCCTAATGATTCTCTCTCTTCTTTCTCTCTCTAATGTAACAGTGCGACGATCTTGCCCAACTAGAATGGCTCTCCAACTTCGTAGAAGAATCCTTCTCAAGCGAAGACCTCCAAAACATCCACCTCCCGAACCTCCATATCTCTAAGATCCCACCCACCGGAATCTCCCCCACACGGCCGGAAAATCCCAACTTGCCGGCCAACTTCTGCCCAAATCTCTTGCCCGAAATCACTGTTCCGGCCAAAGCAAGGAGCAAGCGCTCGAGAGCCCCTGCCTTGAACTGGGCTTCGTCGATCATCTCACCATCGTCCATCATCTCACCGTCAAACTCCTCGTCCAACGAGCAAGTTGGGTCGCCGGAAAGTGGTTTTCCGTCAAATGTTCAGTCCACCAATGGCCGGAAATGCCTTCACTGCCAAACTGATAAGACCCCGCAATGGAGAACAGGGCCTATGGGCCCTAAAACTCTCTGTAATGCTTGTGGGGTTCGGTATAAATCAGGGAGATTGGTGCCGGAATATCGACCCGCAGCGAGTCCCACCTTCGTTTTGACGAAGCACTCGAATTCTCACCGGAAAGTAATGGAGCTTCGAAGGCAAAAGGAAGTGAGAAGAACTCAGCAACAACTTATGCAGAACCAGGTTTATGGTGGTGATGAGTTCTTGATCCACCCTGGTCAAGATTATCACCACCTTCTCTGAGAAACCCATGATTCAGAGCGCTCTCTCTCTCTCTCTCTCTCTCTCTAAAACCCAAGTTTCAGATTCTCCCTCTGGGTCTTCTGGAAAAAGGAGAGCTCAAGATTCAGTCTCTCTCTCTATGGGGTCTTTCAATTTAGGAGAGTTATGCATTTTGTTGTAGGAGATAGGAGGAATTCAAATTCCAAAATTTTTAGATTTTCTTCTCTCTTCTTTACATTTTTGTAGTGATGTGATTTTTGTAGCAGGAGGAGATTCACATTATTTTGTAAGGTTCAAATTTTCATGGAGAAGGAAGGATGCATTGCTTTGGCCTTGAACTTGATCACCTCGCTCTCTCTACATTTACTGGTTTAAAACATGACTTTCTCTTTGTTAAAAAAAAAAAAGACTCCCTCTATACATTTTACTGGTTTAAAACTTGACTTTATTGCATAAAAGTGTTCCTAAATTTCAGTGAAAGAAAAGAAAGTGCTGAAGTTGATTGATATGACCATTTTTAATATTTTATTGTAAAATTGTAGGAAATTTTTTTTAAAAAAAAAAATAAAACAAAAAGATATGGGTGACCACCATTTTCATCAATTATTTCTCATTATTCTTTCAATTAGCGTTTTTGTATCTTTAGTGCAGACATATTCAATAATATATTTTTCTTATGTAGAGATTTTTTTTCATTACCGTTTCTTAAATAATTGGAACAAGTCTGAAATGATGAAGATGATTTAGAGATTTTTCGTAAACAGATTGGGTTTCTTTAAAATTCTGAGACAGCTTATGTTAAAAGAGATTCTTTGGTATAAATTGGAGTTCTATACCGTCATTTTTAGGCAAAATTTAAAATCCCTATATGCTATGTTTATTTTTAATTTTGATCATTTTAATAGCAGAAAGATGGATCTAACATCATGATGTACCTCAGTGATGGAAAACTCGGCGAGTCCACTAAGACACACTCAAGCCACTCGGGCTCGACACCCTGCCGAGATCTGAACCATAACACTAGCAACTCGTCAACCATTACCATTATTTCATTATTTTTTAGTTGGATTAAGCCGAGTATGTCAAACTCAAGTTCCATGTTTTCTTACATTTGTTTATCCAATTATTTTTTAATTGAAATAATGCTGAAATATCAACTATTTAACATTTTACCCTGATTTAATTCAAAATACCCCTCACATATAACCAGATTTGGAATAGTCGCGATGGGTTAAAATGGTAAATAGTTGATCACGCATGCGTATTTTGATAAATATCCCATTTGTAATTTAATTTGAGGATCTTCCTTATCAATTGCTATGAACTTGAAGTCTCTAGCAAAAAATTCGTAAAATTGACAACTTATTCATCATCGTCGAAACCTTTTCTCAAGTGGCAACTTATTCATAAAACTAAATATAACTTGCATTAATTAAAAGATAAATTTATCAGAAAAACACCCAAGAACTATTTAGGAATTTGTCATTTTAAAATTTTAAAAAGCCCATAAAACCACTAATATTTCACTTATAATTTGACAGATAAGTAAACTATTAATAGTTGATATTACAAGCATATATTGATAAATTCCCTTAGGGGCCGATTGGATACCTGGAAATATATTATCTGTGAAATATATTACTGGTGTAGTACATTATCTGCAAATGGATTGTCACTGTTTGGGTAGTATTTAGATACAACCTTGGAAATACATTGTTACTGTTTGGCTATGTCGAGAAGAAATGTGGGAAATGCATTACCAATATTTTTTTTTTTTCTTTTTTGGCTTTATACCCAAAACATAGTTGAGCGTACAATCCCCATTAGTATGTAGCTTAAACTTTATCCTTATTAGTATGTAGCTTAAAGTTTATAATTGTGTCGGGCAAAAGAATTAACCACACCTTTTGTATCCCTTTGTGTGTTGTATTAGAATAACATGTTTTCAAGACGTTAACACTTTGGAATAACATACTTTTATTATGACAAGCCATCATATTTTTTATGTTTTCTTTTCTTGTGCTAAAGCCTCTCGATCATCCCACTCCAGAAAACTTTCATGGACAAATTCAAAAGAAAAAAAAAAAAAAGTTTGGAGAAATTTGGCTAGTAACCTAGGCTTTATGACTAAATGTGATGTATTGGAAGAGGAATTATGTTGGGACATTGGAGGAGATTGAAGAGACTAATTAATTTTAAAAAATTTTCAAAAACACAACTCTAAGTATTTCGAATTTAATTTTAGTAGAGAACTCAAATTCGTTTATTTTTTTTGTAATAATGGCTACAACTGTGTTGTAAAACCCTGGTTTGCAAAGGTAGCTATTGATGGCCGGTTTTAGATGCTAGTAGATGGAGCTCAAAGTTGAAAGAAGATAGGGCGGTTTGCAAAAGGAGCTACTGGTTGCGTTTTAAACTTTTTTTTTTGTTGTGGTTTATTAAAAATGAATCACGGTAGCATAATAGATTTTTTACCCTTGACCATGCATAATAGATTTTCTAATTTTTTTGGAAATATTGATTAATCTTTTTCTATTTCTTTACCATTAAGGACCGTTTAGATACTTGAAACTGTGACAATAGATTACAAGGACCTATGACATTTCCACTGTTTGGATACACTTAATTATAAGAAAATGGAAAGAGATTATGTGAGATTTCTGGGAAATTAAGGACCGTTTGGATGCTTGAAAATATATTACGTGATAATAGATTACAAGTAAATATGAAATGTTGTTGTTTATTAAAAATGAATCACGGTAGCATAATAGATTTTTTACCCTTAAACACGTATAATAGATTTCAGATTTTTTTTTTGAAAATCTTGATTGCTCTTTTCCTATTTCTTTACCATTAGACCGTTTAGGTACTTGAAAATGTGACAATAGATTACAAGGACATATTACGTGAGATTTCTGGAAAATTAAGGACAGTTTGGATACCTGAAAATCTATTATGTGACAATAGATTACACATAAATATGACATTTGGCGTACACTTAATCGTAAAGAAATATAAAGAGATTACATGAGATTTTCCCAAAAATCAGTAAAAATCTAAATCTTTGATGTGCGTTTTTGTCAACTCTGATTAAAAAAAATCTTCTAAGCCCTTTCTTGATAATTACTAGGTGATCCCTCCTGTTTTTTAAGCTCATCTTCTTATTTGACTGCATTAGCTGTCTTATAAAAAACAAAAATAATAAAAATAAAAATTAATAATCAATGATAAATTACACAACACAATCATAATAAAAAATTTCACATAAGATAAGATAATGTGATCCCTCTCTTTTTAAGCCCGTCCCTTCATCTAAAGGCATCAGTCTCATATAAAAACAAAATTAATAAAAATAAAAATCAGCAATCAATGATAAATTACACAACGCAATCATAATAAAAAATTTCACACAACATAATCCTCATAAGAGATTACTAAAATCTCAATTGAATTAATATACATCTTTAGTCTCCTCCAATACCTCGAAATTTTATATTGCAATTACCAAAACTTCTTCCAATTTTTTAACTCGTACCCTACATATTTTAAATTTAGTATCATAAATTTATTGTTTATTTGAATTATATAGAGAGACATTTGAAAAACTTCTATAAAAAATAAATAAAAATAAGGCTTATCATAATAAAATCATGTTATTCCAATCATATTGTTCCAATGATTTATCATGTTGAAACCAATGTCATGTTAGAAAATATGTGATTACATATAAGTGCCAAAGGCACTTAAAAGAAGTAGGAAATAGTGTCATGACTGTAAAATGGTAGAAGTTATTATTAAAAATATTTTTAGAATGATGACAATGTTATTATTAAAATCTTTTTGGAATGGCGTGATGATGATTTTAATTCAGTATTTTAGTGGAATTTTGTAACAAAAAAAAAGGAAATGATAATTTTGTATTTTAGTAGAATTTTGTGACAAAAAGGAAATAAATGATAGTTTATAGGCACGTGCCGATAAGATGTTGCTAATGCATTTCCTATATTTCTTCTAGACACAGCCAAACAATAGCAGTGTATTTTCTAGATTGCATCTAAATACTACCCTTACAGGTAATATATTAAGTCAGTAATATATTTCACAGACAATATATTTCCAGGTTTCCAAACCACCCCTTAAAGTATACCCGAAATGTCATATTTTTATATAATCTATTTTTATGAAATAGATTTTCAAGTTCCCAGACTGCCCCTTAATCAAAATTCATTTTTAACTCGTCATGGTTTTTATTACGTGTATCCCTCAAAAAGGGAAAACACGAATAAAGAATTAAAAATTCAAGGGGCATTGATTTTTGAAAAAAAAAACGTTTCATTCTTTGCCTTGTTTTCAATGAACGGTTAGAAAAAGGGATCAGGATGGTGTATTTTCCGGCAATTTCATCGATTTCCGGCACTTTTTGCCGGATTTAGAAAAATTAAGGGCACGGAATTTCATGATTTTTTTTGGTGGGGATATAAAGAGAATTGTCAAATATGAATTTGAGATATTTCTTGATATTATCGTATCGCCCGATCCCATGCTTCTACACTTTATTTTATTTATTTTATATGAACAATATACTTTATTTTACTGTATTACTTGATTTTTTTTCATTATTTTTGTTGGGTTTGAAATTTGGCGAACCACATTATTAGATTCTTAAAGGTAGATCACGTGATCTCACTCGCTCTCTGTCGTTGTTTGGACTTCTTTTATGGATAAGAAAATACATATTTAACTCGAAAATCAAAGAGAGGGGCAACTTGGACCAAACTCAAAACAGAATCTGGACCTGGACACGGACTGGAATGGGGTCCAACCCCTAGACACATACACAGACCCAGGGCCCGGTCTACCCATTGGGTCGAGGGTCCACATGTCCCAATTGCCACCCCTATGTAAATTTAGCATTAGGATGATTAGTTCATCAGGTTCATTTCCCTAAGGTGCCTCCCTAAGAAAAATGTTTGCGATGCAAAATTAGCCGCATTAGTTCTCAACAGTTACTGGTATTTTGGTAATTGTAGGGTTGGGAGTGGGCCACATACCCTGGCTCGGCCCAGCCCTATAAAACTGGGGCTTGGGCCACCACAAATGGACTGAGGCTTGGGTCAAGGCGGAGCCACCACAGCTCGAGGAGAGCGGCAGTTCGGGCCTGGGCGAGCACTATCATGGGCCTGGCCTGCTTTGGCTTGACCAACCCTCCACCCT